TTAAATATCCCCCAAAATGAAGGGTTTGACTTTCCTAATTTGCATAATGAGTGCGCGAATATATAATTAGCTGAAATTACCTAATTTGCATATTTGATGAAGATTCATGAAATTTTCATATTTCAAATGAAATATATTTTCATACCTGTCTGATATACATAGGTTTCACTGATGTATCATGTTCGGTTTTGATTTGATTACATATGCCCATATTTATTAGGCGGACTTATTTTCACAACTTTTTCATATCTGCAGATTCGCAAAAATGAAAAAAGTGACTTATTTTGTTGGCTTCTGTTTTCAAAACGGTAATAGGTATATGAATTTTCTTCTTTGTATTTTTTACCACAAAGATGATATTTTAGTATCTGATAATTTAATTTATTATTTGTATCCGAGAAAGTGATGAATTAAGTTGCCAACTTTAGCGAATTTTGCCATTTTTGCCAATTTGACCATTTCTGGCAGGTTTTCCGGTATTTTGCGATATCAAAAAATGGTATAAAATCACAACGCATTGACCGATTTCAATTCTGTTTTTTGTTTTTTGAAGCTTTCATAAAGCTTGATCATTTGAAATCATCAGATAACATGTGTTTGTTGTACTAATTTTTGGTGTGCTTTACCTTCTTTAAGAGATTTCCATGAGTTATTTATTTATAAATTAATTTATCTCATTATTTATCAATTTTTTGGAACACATGATACACAAGATCAGTATGTTGCTTTTTGCCATCTTCGTCTTGAACTTCTAAAACTAGAACTTCAGGATACAGCTTTCCGCTTCGTTTTGGAACCCAGCCTTATATCTGCGAATATCATCGTGTCGAATCGTGACTCACATTTTCCAACTTTTAGAATGCTTAAAAAATGTTAGCGATTTGACTATAACGTTTTGTTTGCGTTTAAGTTGGGACATTGCGACGATTCAACATTTGCTCCTGCTAGCAATTAGCCGAGCCTTATTTCGTCAAAGAAATATCGGTTGGGGAAAGGTTTATTTCGTGGGTTTCACATTAGGTATAGGGTTAGTGTGAAAGTAAGGTTAGGTTTTGTATCCACGATTAAGGTAAGGAATTCGCTGAGGGCAGAATATTAACACTGATCATATCTCAGGAGATATTGTCGTTTACCTTTGTGTTGTCATGCTTTAAGCTTTTCCTATGTTGAAGAACAATTTAGAATGTCACTTTGTTCATGTTTCAAGTAAATTAATCATGTGAACGTGTAATTTATAATTCTGTGAACTTTACATCAAGGTTTTGAATTTTACCGTAATACGTTTAACCTTCGGAGCGTTTACAATTTAACCATTCATAATTCCTCGATTTGAACAATGCAAGTTGTACATGCTCCCATCCCCTTTTCTCTCCCTCTTTCGTTTTCTATTCAATACTGTCTGTCTGTATGTCTCTATTTGTTTCTCTCTTCAGTTCCCACTCCCTCTTTCTAAATACTTCTATCTTTAATACAGTTAAAAAATATTGTTTTCGTATTTCTCTCTCTCTATATATACTTTATAAATATTTTGTAACTGTGTCTCTCGCAAATGCTCCTCTCTCTTATAAATTTATTATCAGTTGTGTGTAAAGTCCCCCCTCCCCTCCCCTTCAAACCTGCATAATATGCCACTAATTATGGTTCTAGTCATTTGAAACCTTACCTCCCAAAATAACTGTACTTATTCTAAGAGATTTATTATATTCTTGCCTATTAATCTCCAATAATTCCTCCACCAAAGTGTATGAGAGAGGCATAAAACAAGAATAATGAACAGTTTTTCAAGAAGACATGGACATCGCCATTTTCCTGATAACGTGACTATGTGAAGTCGTTTATCGCGTAAATGTATTCAAATGTATGTGTGTTACCTTCCCAGATGTGTGTGGTGATGATGCATTTCTTTCACCTGCTATTATCCTTTGTACTAAAATTGCCAGAAAGCAAATTGCATGAATAAGTTGGTGCTCCTCCGGGGTAAAGGTTTCGCAAACATGAAATAGATTTGTCAACTGCTATATTTTAGTATTTTTAAATGAATTAAAATATTACTGTTCCCCTAATATACATTTCTCGATAATCATAACTTTAACTTCTCAGCTATGATTTTCCCTCATTGAAAGGAAAGGGTTTTATCATTGAGTTAAAAAGTATGTCAAACTAAAGCTTGGTGCATGATACATGTACACCTCCGTCTGGTATGTCACATTATTAAGCCAAATGGCTGCGCCCATATCATGCTAAAAGGTAGTACATCATTTCAAGATTATCCTCATTCTTGAACTCTTGATCTCTTGAACACTTTTGTAAGGAGTAATTTGCATCAAAAGGCAGGAATACATCTCATTTTCAGAATACCTACACTTATTTTTTGGCGTGAGGTTTCCTAGGCGAGGGTTAAATCTATGCCCCGTCTCTGTGGTGTTCAATACATGATGCCTGTACCCGTCGATGACAGTGGGTTGAATTATAATTGTCTAATTATACTTTCCCCGCATCTTGATCAAAAACACTTCACACATTAAAGAAATATCAATGCCAGACGTATATTCAAATGATTTATTAAGCACTTGTGTGTGTGCAAACTCTATGATTCTCTTTCAATTCAAATTGTATTAAGCTGATGAGCGATCTGATAGAGAAATAGATATTTATGATATTTTGAGGAAGACAACGAAATGGTATTTATCTCTTTATACATTCGAAATAAAAACAATTTAGTCACTTTATTTCTTACACAATCGTCAGAGTATCAATTACAGACTTCCCCAGCCTTTGTAAAATACATGATGACAATTTCATATCACTTTAAATATCAAATATAATTTCTTTGATCAACTAAATTTGCAAAGTGCTACACACCAAATCACACATTTGCAAAGCGAGAAAACACATAAATCTAGAGTTTAACGTTTAATGTAACGCGTAAAGTAATAAATGTTCATTTGTATATTGTATAGTATATGTTATTAATCCATTAAGAAATTAAGAAAATCGCTTTCATAGTTAATATTTGCATTCTCATTGTTAACACCACAACTAGCTATACAAAAGCTAAATGTTTTTTCTGCTCCTGAGACAACTGGTTATATGTTTTACCATATTTACCTGTATCTACACTGTCTACATCTAAGTCTTCTTTCATAGTTTTCATGTCTAACAACAGGCTTTAAATATTTTAGGTACTGAACGATTGTTCATTTGAAATACATGTATGTATAAGACCGGAATTCCAATAACAGCACTGCAGAAAGCAAAATCAGATTTAAATACATGAAATATGACGAGATAAGATATTAACATCATAATCATTATCACAAACATTACAAAGAATTATTATAGCTTTAACACCAAATGTATCATTAAACACACAAAATATACAGTAATGCAACGTTATGATAAAAGGGTACCTGAAGTTCCTTTACCACAGATGGAAGGTTCTATAGGAGATGTTCCTAAAAGGTATTCATTATATCATTTTTGTTAACCTTTATATTTTTTCTTTTCGTTTTTATGCATTGGAAATATTTAAGACAGTTTAAGAGGTCTTTTAGGTCTGGTCAGACAGCTGTGATAAAAAAAAAATATCAAAATGTGACTGTGTTTTATATAAACAATCAGTAATGTATGCCGATGTTTTACGGGATCACCAAAATGAGATAAAAACTGACTCAGTTTTGCTATTAGAATTCACATGCTCAGCCCAGATGGATATATGGAACTAACTAAACGCACTCACAGAAAAAACTCACACACACACACGCACACATACACCCACATACACACACACGCACGCATGCACACGTTGCATTGCATTTTGGTCTGAAATTGTTTAGCTCTGTCTTGTCATATTTCCAATTTAATGAATTTGAATATACATGCTTTTCTTTTGTGATATGCTTCCAAATATGTTCGTGCTGTTCCATCTGGTCTGTACGTCGCATCACGTTTTCAGGATAACAATTTTCGGAAAAGAACGACGAAGCTAACACATGGGTTTCATCTTTTCCACTTCTGACCGATCTCTTTTAGTTGTTTTAAAGGTAATATACAAAGTTTTGTTATGGGGTCATGAATTTGTTTCAAATGAGCATATTGGAAGCATATGCGATCATACGATATTCAGTGATCGTTGTCGCGGTTGGAATCGAGTTTAAAGTTATGAAATTGTAAATAATAAACTCTTTATAATTTATAGCTCCCTCTCAAGTTCAAGATATTAATTAAGCTATAAATCAATGTTTCTTTACTAAAATTGACCGATAGCTATTCTGGTTTCGAAATTATATATCACTACTACATATTCTGAGATTTCCATGGTCGCAGCTACCATTGTACGTCCGTAGGCGCTATTTGAAATTTATCAAAAATTTACCGGGAGCACCGGTAAATTTTTATATTCAATTTTTCTCGAAAGTAGAAGTGCTTTAGGGGCTAAATTTCTAGTGCTTATAATACATCCACAGGGACATCCAAATGTATCAAAATTGTAAAGAATCACTATCCACCCAATTTTCAAAATTTCCCAAAACTTTGTATTACCTTTAGGGTGTAACGCATTTTCATTTAGTAGCTATAGGTCGTCTATTTCCCATGTGTCTCCGTCCAAAATTACATATATGTGTTGTGTAACAATGATTGGCCTATATCCCGTTCTATAAAAGACTGTCAATGTAGCCTAATTGTCAAAGTTCCGCTTAGTCCATTTGTAATTGACAATATTACAATTTAGAATAACGCTATTTACGGCTTACCACCATGTCTTTGTGTTTGACAAAAAGACGTTATTTTTAGCGGACAATACATTGTATAGATGTCCATGAAGAAAATATAGAACAAATCTATTGTACCTCTAGCATACACAAGTAAACTGACGAGTATACCAAGTGGGCCGAATGACAAATGACCAGCCTTACTATACACAAACGTTCAGGACGTCAAAAATTTACAGGTACTTTGGTAATATACAATCAATTTTAATATTTTGAATTGATGTGATTCATTACTTTATTCATTCATGTGTTTCGTTATTGTTTCACGTATTCATTAACTTACTTATCTGTTACTTATCTATTACGATGTCTTACGTCCACTGCGGGACGCTTCATTAGGCCGATTATACCGACGGATCTTTGAAAGGTTATCAGAGAAGGGCAGTTCTTTAACCGGAACACCATATCCTCGGGTCAAGAATCATTGGCGCCAAAGACCAGTCCAAGAGTGGACTTGAAACATCGCAAGCTAAAATTTGCGTGAGTTAACTTGGCTTGATGAAGATTCTCTAGTGATTCCTTATGAACTTAATGCTCTGTGGGACACATCCATTATTATCTTTACGAGGAAAAGGAGCAACATTTTCTCCGGGGATGTATCAATAAGAACGAGTTGAGAAATCAGATCTTCTTCGTTACTTATAATTCCATCTACATGACTTTTATCCAAGGTGGTGGATTCCTCGTTGGGTTTGCCAACAGAAGAAAACAGAGGGGCTATCTGAGACATATCTTCAGGTAGGACTTGAATTTCATGGCTGGACGATTGTTCAGCAGGTTGAATGCAACTTACATTGGTCATAGAATCACCAGCATGAACTTCTCTAGAGGACACGTCTTCAGAAGTCACTTCAGATGCATCCAAGTCCTCTGTACTGCGTATAGGATGTTGATTCCTACTTCCATCTGTCAAGTCCTCCTTGGTTTTGGAATCCATGTCTCGAGGGGTGTGGTCATTGCTTGCTGTAGCTTCCTGCAATACCTGGGTGTCGGTCTGTCCTTTGTTCTGGTCCTCTTTTAGAGAGGTCTCATCTCTAGTAGAGAGCTCCTGATCATTAACGTCTTTGTTAACTGATTCAGCACCGATCTGTTCTTCTGCCACACCTGACCGGCAGCAAGAAAGAAATCAAATAATAGTTTTTTTTCGCAAAACACATCGAATCGGAATTATCGTGATTGTGTAGAACTTATTGCATCGAATTAAAAATTTCTTTTCTTATGTTTACCAGGTAGTAGAAGAGAACCAGTAAGTAGCAGTTTTGCTTTTTCTTGTGCACAGCTATAATGAGGAAAATGCTAACTTAAAGTCGAATTTAACTTGCTTCAGAAAATACTATTAATCTGACTCTAAACACATGGGTCGTATTGTACGTCAAATATAACAGTATGTTGATGAAGTGTTGAATGGGGTCTTTATTACGAAACTACAACTGTTCTCAATACAAATATACATTACCTTCGCTGAGATACAGGTCTGCAAGGTTGACCAACTTAGCAGCTTGCAGTGCCTTCCTTAGCTCAATCCGTTCATCTTTCCTGGACACACCTTCTCTCCATTGTTTCAGCATATGACGAGTTCCATCACTGGTAACACGGTTGAACTTCACATTGGTCATGAGCGCTCTCTGTATATCACCATGTAGGATTCCTAGCTGACCAGCAAGGCTGTCGATCTTGGCTTCATCGTAAAGATCGTCAGCTATCTGCTGTAATATGCCTGCAAACTCATCATCTGGGGGCTCCTCTCTAGAATGGTACACGGTATTAAAAAAGACAAACATGGGGCGGTCAGAGAACGTATAGGTATGACGAATCAACTTAAAAAATAATCAAAATCTTTAATTGAAATAAAAACAACCGGAACAAAGTATGTTCTTCCGGTGATGTGACCATACTCAACATGCTTAAATTATTTATATAAGTTCATTAACGGATTTCACTTTAACTCTAATCACCATATACTAGAATGCACCTAAGATTCTTATTTTTTGGTTAATGAGTTGTGATATTATAATCACTTCTGCTTCTACATAATCACTGGTGATCATGACATTTCTAAACATGATTTTGGATTCATAGAACATAACTGCTGCCGTACTTTTAGGACTGGTATTAGGGACTTTTAGATTGAGTGGACGAGAACACGACGAACGCCGACTGATCATGCGTGTCAACGTACTCAACTGCCCATGTTGACTACAATTAGAAATCTTTTAGATTGCACTCGACGATATACATGCATGCAGGAAGTAACTAACACTATGAACATGTGGGACAAAGAAAGAGGACAAAATATACAGTTTCTTATTCTACCCTCGACAATTAGACCATTTTCGTAATGTAACCAACTTTAATGCACACGTCTTTGTGAAATGCCTCACTACAAATTTCATTCACCTGATAAGAATAATAGTAATTCAATAGTCAGAATGTAAACTGCATATATCAAGTGTTGCTAGGTAGGTCAAGCCAAAAAGTTTGTCCAACCTAGCAACAACTAATGTACGCAGTTTGGATTATGTCTATTGAAATACTTCACAAAGACTTAAGCATTAAATTTTGTTACATTACGAAAATGGCCTATTGCTGTAGTAGAACATCCCTTCACTGCTATTATGTAAACATATGTAGAACAGGTGAATATGCATGTGACACCTGTTCTACACATTTTTACATAATAGCAGGGAAGGGATGTTCCTTTGTCTACCTGAGGAACTGTATATTTTATGCGCAAGCGGGATATACTAGTACCGTACTAGATTTAGGAAAATCAAGGTTGACGCATTCTCGATCGCCGACTGAGACGACGTGACGCATGCGCAGTGCCTTAAAATGACGTCACACGTCACAGTCAAAGCTGTTAACGTGCAAATCTAAAAGTCCCTAATGACAGTCTAGCACCACTCATTGTACACACAAATATACATTCCGTAGTAGTTTTGTCACTATAAGAGAAATAATGCATTCATTGTTACGTTAAGTGTAAAGTTATTTCATCTCACCCTGCTTGTAATGTATCACTCCTTCCCAGTCCTCCGATTGAATTATCCTCAAATGAAGATGTACCTGTCATGAAGGAATGAAGTCGGTTTGAATGAGAAAAAAAAAATAATATAAGAGAAAAAATTGAATGTTCTTTATCATTCACTGTATCTTTATTTTTTATTATTTACTTTTAAAATGTAAATAGTTCACAAGCATTACATAGCTCTAGTTTCGTGGATGATGTAATCGAAAGGCGTTATTTATGGCATAATGACAACAAAAACAAACAAATTTTGGACTGTGACAATCTCGATATTGTCAGTATTTTCAGACTCGCAAACATGGGGTAGGGAGCTATAAACAACATATTGGGCTTGATAAGCTTCACACTATCAATATTTCAATAATTTGCCAAAAATGGGATGGGAGTTATACAGTATAATGTAAATACTAAATACGAGTTGGAAAAGAAAATCAGATTGGAAAAAAAAGTCTTACCAGCCTGATCTTGTTTTCCAGAAGTCACCCAAGGAATGAAACTCCATTGATGTGTCTCTGCTTTCTTCTTCTGCTCTGCTGATCGTATCTCACTTTCTAGTTGAATTTTGGTTCTCAGCTTCCAGGTCTCACGGTTAAGTTGCTGCAAACATTCTTCTTTATAGTCAAGCTCCTTCTTCGAGCTTAATTCTATTGACTGTTTTTCCTTCTCAAATTGCGCTCTGTCTCCCTCTCTTGCTTGCTTTAATTCTTCCACTTGCTGTCTTAGAGTCGTCTCGTTCCGCTTTTTCTCCTGTACAATTTTCGTCAAAGTGTCTAAACGTTGTTGCTTAGAATCGAGTTTCTTCGTCATGTCTGCTGCCAGTGAGCGCTTTTCTTTCCCAGTCCTTGCTCTTTCGTCCTTCTTTTCACTCTGTAGTCGCTCAACCTCACGTCTTGCCTCTTTCTTGGTTCTCTAAAAGAGCGACTTACATCTTGGATTCTTGCATATCTTCAGATTGTTAGTTGCGAACGCTCTGTCGCCTTCTTGAAGGCATCCGTGTAGAAGGTTAAGCCACTCGAACTGTTCCTCATCTGAGTGAATGCGATTAGGCCATACTACTTCGTAGATAGCAGTGACCTCGAGTTCCATTAATTCATTTCTCGATTCGTAGATGCCTCCACAAGGAACTAAAGCACATAGAGGGGCCTTCTCTATCCAATCGAAACATATCCAATGAGTTTACTCGAAATTACGTCCAAAGTCATGATGATGTTTAGACATCTACATACCACACATACGTCATATATATATATATATATATATATTTTTTTTTTTTTGGGGGGGGGGGGGGGAGGGGAGGGGTCGAAATAAAGTCATGGAGAAAATCTGAAATGCTTCTTCGTCTCTGTGTGTGTTTATCAGTGCTCTCAGTGGCATTGAATATGCTGCCATATTTAAGTTGTAAAAGTAGACAAATGAAACATTTCAATGGTTGCTATATGGTAATTTTCTTTAATGAGGAAATATGTCATAATCCCAAAGACGCATTGCGTAATCTACGCCTGCATAACACAAGTAAATTCAGCTTGGTTGCAAGCTTGGCAACCTTGGGCAATTTTTTTAATAGCCATATTAGCATAATCATCTAATTTGCATATGTGCAATATGTAATAATGTTGCTAATCTCAATCCAGGAAGCCTGAAAACATGGATACAACGACTTTTTAAAGGGTTTTCTGTAACGAGGAATTCATTTCTGACATCAGTTTTTGATTCAAGTATTCCAATTGTCTTAAATAGCATAATTAGCATATGTACAATATATGGACTTCATTGTCACATCTATAAAGCCTAACATGGTGCAATGCAACATTGTAAATCACTTTTGAAAGACTAATAATTAATTCATGAGAAAATATTCCATGTATATGTAGTATAATTAGCCTAATTAGCATAATAATATAAATAACATAAATGTGGAATGTGTAATAATGTTAGTTATCTTAATCCAGGAAGCCTGAAAACATGGCTATTACATATTACTTTTCCAGGAATTCTGCCACCACCTTGAGCAACTTCCCGGCTTTCACTCTCAATGGTTCTCGCTGTGGTAAACATAGACAGATCATAGTTTGCACTGTTGTATTCAACATCCCTGGCCTATGTATGTACCTGTCTCACCACATCATCAATTTCATCATTATCATAGGACAAGTCCACTCCAAAAATTACTTACTTTCAATAGAAGCAGAAAAATCAGACAAACCAATCAAAACAAGTTTGAGAAAAATCAGATAACTAATAAGAAAGTTATGAATATTGAAAAAGTATGTAAAACTATGGAACAATGAGAATCACAACACAAATTGCCAATATGGTTATTAGTTTGTGACGTCATGTCCTAACTAGTTATCATTTGCTTTATATAGTTTAATCCCATAAATTTCCCCTTTTAACCCCCAAAACTTGATGTCCTCATGCCTTTGCCCAGGTTATATGATTATATTGCGTGCCTGACATTTCACAAAATCTTGATACTTTTTTCTGAATATTGTATATTCATAATTATTGATGTTTATATTAATAGTTTATCAAAATCCACATTTTTCCTGAATTAACTGGAAAAAAATTACTCTATATTAGTGCATCCACACAAAAACATAATATTACTATCAATCTAACTTGGATGCTGGTGTAAAAAAAGATTCTTAGGGAGAAAATTGTTCTGCTTCTATTGAAAGTAAGTTATTTCTGGAGGAAACTTGGCCTTTAACCATCTTCAGTGTGTTTCTGACAGTCACTCTAAGGGTATGTTTATGCTCAACTTTTTCTGGCCAGAATCAGGCATCTGTTTAATACGCGTTTAGTCCAAAACACGGTTGCGTCATTTCTCACTTTTGTAGAATCACCGAAAAACGGCGATCACGATCGCCGATCGTAAACCCACGAAAAGGTGCGTTTACGATCGGCGATTCTGTGGAAGCATAAACGCACAATCATTTGTAAACGCGTTTAAAGATAAACTTTAGTACTGGTAATGCGATTGCATTGTGAAAGAAAAGGTGTGGAAAGGATCAGAAACAGTTGATCATGTAGCATGTAAGTATTGGGGTGCACTGCAAGGTTCTGGAGTCATCAAAATCATAATAAATTTGACCGAGTCTTGGTAAAGTAACAAGCACTCACAAAAAAAGCTATATATGGGACAACACACATGGTGTCGGGGCTAGTACTACCTTGATTTCCTTGTCTTTCTATGCTCATTACTCAGCCAGTATACATTTTCTTCCAAAATTGTTTGGCACATGTCATTTATTTGTAATCTTGAACATTCAGTGTAAGTTTCGTTTGATTCTGTGAGAATTTTTTTTTTTTTTACCAGTACTGGAGTTTATCTTTAAATGGGGTCAACGCACTGACCTCTAGTGGGTCTACGTAGCATGCGCAGTGCAGGTTTGCGAATCCAGCTGCAAGGCCGAGGAGCCAGAGAAGTGAGCATAAACAGTACACCGTGGAACTGAGCGTTTACGATGAGCGTTTCAAATCGCTCATTCTGCCTTCAAAATTGAGCTTAAACGCACCCTAAATCCTAATTAGGCTAATTATATTACATCTACATGGAATATCTTCTCATGAATTGACGGTACATTGCAAAATGTATTTGAGAATTCTTTTAGTATCACTCATGTAAATATTAGATCATTAAATAAAAACATTAATGAATTGCATTTACTGTATGGTCATTCTATAAAACAAAAATTTGATATTATTGCCCTTTCAGAAGTTTGGAATGTTACTAGTGTAGACACATTCCCATTAACAGATTCTGTTTTGGAGGTTAACTGCCGCCAGGAGAATGAGAGAGGAGGTGGAGTAGGAGCAGGAGCATACATTCACAAACAAGTGAATCATGAAATACTTGAATTTAACGTTGCTCCTGCAGAAAGCTTGTGGTTAAAAGTGTCTAAGAATAATATTGATAACTTTGTGATAAGTACGATTTATAGGAAACCAAATACGAACATTGCTGAGTTTCTAAACGGCTCACTTGGTGTATTAGAAAATATAAATATTGGTAGAGCAAATGTAATTTTAATAGGTGATTACAATATTGATCTTTCACTAACAGGTACGCCAAAGATATCTGATTTTTTGAGCGCAATAGAATCTACAGGAATGCAACAGATAATTTCGTCGCCGATCAGGATGGCAAATTTGACTTCGTCTCTCATTGATCATGTGTATACTAATTTTTATAATTACGCCATTCATTCAGGCGTTATTGAAACTGATGTTTCGGATCATTTTCCCATTTTTGTAATCTTAAAGGTCCAAATGGTTCAGGAAAGAGCTCTTTTGAGAGGAAGGTTACTCGCTCATATAGAAAATACAACGTCTGTCCATTTCAAGAAGATCTGTAAAAAAAACTGAATTGGCAGCATATATATAGATATGAAAATGTGAATGTAGCTTATGAGAATATTTATGATATGTTTGTAAATGTGTGTGATAAACATGCACCTAATGTGACATTTAGCAGTTCAAAGAAAAGATCTACACCAAAAAAGAATATCAACAGGTATTGTAAAATCTATCAGGAAGAAGCATAAACTGTTTAAAAAATCTGGGTCATCACATTTCAATGAAGAGTATGGAAATGAATACAAGAAATATATAAATATGTTAGTGACTATTATAAAGAATGCTAAAATAATGTATTATAGCGAATCCTTTAGCGAAAATAGAAATAATATGAGGAAGGCCTGGGGAATTATCAAAGAGTTAATAAGTAGAAATGATAAAAATAAGAAAACAAAGATTGAACAGTTAGTTATTTGTGATGAGGGAACGAATAAAGTTGTGTCTTCAGATTAGGGCATAGTTAATGAACTTAATAATTATTTTGTTTTTATTGGATCAACATTAGCAAAGAAGATTCCAACTGTTAATCTGGAATTTGAAAACTATTTAGCTAGAAGAAATGAAAAATCTTTTTTTTGGAAGCAAAAGAAACGGAAGTTTTTGATAATCTAAATGCTCTCGTTGCTAAGAAATCCCATGGATATCACAAATAGCCAGTAAGATTAAATAAGGATACCCTTTATTGCTGCGCCACTGACGTACATATTCAGTTTGTCATTAGAAAAGGGAGAGTTCCCAGATGCATTGAAGACGGCAAAAGTGACTCATTTATACAAAGAAGGACCAAAGACCGGCTCTTGAAATTACAGGCCCATTTCTGTTGCACTGGTCATTGCAAAAGTCTTTGAGAAATTACCTAATGGTCGTCTAATGAATTTGTCTAATGAAGTTTTCATTGATAAATCTTGTAGATACACTTATAAAATCAATGAATAAAGGTAAACCAACGCTAGGTATTTTTATAGATTTTAAGAAAGCATTCGATACTACTATTGATCACGAAATCCTTTTATGAAAGTTTAAAAATTACGGTATACGAGGTATAGTATTGCAATGGTTTCAAAGTTACCTTTCAAATAGATCGCAAGTCTTATGCTACAAGGAAATAGTGTCAAGTAGGAAAAGGATAACATATGGTGTCCCTCAAGGTTCAGTCCTCGGGCCCACTTTGTTTCTATTATATAGTAATAATTTACCATCTTCTACTAAATATTTTGAATTTGTATTATTTGCTGATTATTCAAATCTATTTCATACTTTTAATAAAAAACAGAAAGAAATAGATATGAATGAAGTAAATATCACATTTTTGGAAGTCCAAAAATGGTGTTTTGTTAACAAGTTCACAATAAACTTAAAGAAAACAAATTATATGCTCATTAAGGGACAAAGGCAATCATGTGAAAGTAAGGGTATTTTAAAACTCAGTGATACAATGATAGATAGAG